GGGACCCCCAGCGACTCTGGCACCTCTCCCCTACTAAGCGATACGGGGAACCCCCCCGAGCAATTGGGACCCTCCAGCAATTGTCTGCCCCCGCAGCCACTCAGGACCTGCAGTAATTGGCTCTCCCCACAGCGCCTCGATCCTCCCCCCGGCCCCACTTTGTTTCTTGGGAGCAGGGGGCCGACCCCCCCCCCCCCCCCCCCCGGTTGCATGCGGCTCCAACCCCGTGCAAACGGCCCCTGATGTTCGGGCAGTCCCAATTCATGCCGCCTTTGTTGTTTTCCCTTTCTTTTCCCCTCCTGCCAGTACTACGAAATGTCCTACGGGCTGAACATCGAGATGCACAAACAGGTGAGCGCCGGTGGGGGGGCTGCTTGGGCTGCTTATAAGTGACAGAACGGGCAGTGGGTCGGCAGCCGTGCGAGGTTTGGGGCGATGGGATCCGCGTGCATTCGGAAGCAAGGCTGCGTTTTGCAAGGAGCGTTGCGGGGAAGCGACCTCGTGCAGAGGAGGTGCGTGCAGCCGGGGCTCTGCGTGCTCATCCCGGGGCTGCTGCTCCGAGGTTGCAGCCCTGCTCTGAGCTGCAGGGCGCACCAAGGGCGGTGCATCGCTCGGTGCCGAGGAAACCGAGCGATGTTTGGTGCTGCGTCGGTGGATTTGGGCTTCTCCTCGCCGTAGCGTTTGCCCCATAGGGAAAGCGGCGCGGGGTGCGGTGTGCCGCCTTGATAAGATTACAGCTAAAGAGCCTCGGGGCCGTGGGCACACGATGGTGAAACTTAAAGGAATAAAGTTATTATTGCAATGAGAGCCGATTACCGGCGCTGCCGCTGGCGGGCGGACACGGTTCTGGTGATGCACTCAGGGCAGGGCTCGGCAGCAGTGCAGCTCGGCAGCAGTGCAGGCACGGCAGCAGTGCAGCTCGGCAGCGCTCTGCTCGGCAGTAGCACCGGAGCAGCGTTGGCAAAAGCTGAGCTGTGCACGGCTGTGTTCCCTGCTGCAAAAGGGCAGCGGCCGCGACCGCCGCTCGGGTGACGTTGGCTCAGGGTTGCTTTTTGTTGATTAATTAATGTATTTGGTGTTTGTTCTTTATTAAATATTGCCTTCCCTGCGGCTGATCCCAGCAGGTGCGCGCCCAGCCCCTGCCGTGCTCTGTCTCGGGTTGCTTGCTCTCCTGGCTGTCTTGGCTTCGCCCTGTGCGAGCGCACGGAGGTGTTGAAATAGAGCACGAAATAAGGCAGGGAAGCACGGAGCTTTTCTGCCGATGGCAGCGCTGGAAGCGGTTGTTATTTCCCGGATGTTTTGCACTGGGGGTTGCTTGCATGCGAGAGCTGATTGGGGTGGGGGGGGGTTGCATGGCCGGGTTGGGCTGCTCCGCTGCGCTCCGTGCTGCGGCATCACTGTGCGCCCTGATGGTGCCGGGGGGGGAACCCAGTGGCAAAGTGGGGCTGGGGGCTCAGCACCAGCACCCCCGATCTCCCCTCCCGTTGCAGGGACCCCCAGCAGCCTCCTGGCTGCGCTGCCCCCAGCCCCGGCTGACCCGCTTAGCGGTTGACTTGTGTTTATCTGCACACAATCAAGTAGACTGAAGTGCCTGAATTATTCATGCGGTGTCCTGCCCTCCAGACTTGACTGCGTGTGATTACATCTGCTCGAGACAAACATTGATGGATACTTCATCTTTAAGCAAAAGGGGATTGTCTGGCTGGGGGCTTATATAACAGATTATCTCTTCGGCGCTGAATATTAAGCGCTTCGTCCTCGCCCCGGCTGCGGTGGTGGCTTTTTTTTCTTTTTCCTTTCTGCTCCGTTTCGTGTCTTTCGAAGGGAGGAGAAAGAAAAAAAAAAAAAGTAATAATAACGGGACTTCCATAAGCAACTCCGTATGTGGGGAATAGTCGGGAAGTGACGGCGGTGCGGCGCTGCTGGGGGGCTCTGCTTTGAGCGGCAGAGCTCCGTTTGGGTTCCTCGATGCCCCCCCCGAGGGACCCCTCGTTCCGGAGCTCTGCGATCAGAGGGTGCAGTGCTTCCTCGAGAGAAGCGTGTGCTGGGAAGGGGACCTGCTTGCAGGGTGTTGGAGTGCTGTGTTTTGGGGCTGAGCCCTCGATGCTTCGGAGCATCCCCGAGCCACGCTTCCCCTTTGCTTTCTCCTATGGAATATTCCAAGAGCCCCGTGCACCCTGCGCTGGGAGCAGCGGATGGAGCTGGTAGGGCGGGCCGCCGTGTTGGGGGGGCTCTGCCCTCCGCGCCCCCTCCCCGAATTTAATTCTCATCAGCGCCGCTCTCCACTTTGCTAATAACGATAGCAGCCACAAATAGCTTTCAACATGCCATTGACAGCCCGGTTGGAGAGAGCACTTGAAATAGTGGTAGACAGCTGAAAGTGCCCATAATTGTGTGCCGGAGTGAGAACCACGCTGCTCAAGGGCCTGATTTCCATGTGCTTACGGAGACAATCTCCCGGCTTCAACAGACGCTGCTGGTGCCGTGCGGGAGGTGGGGCTGAGCCCGGCCTTCTGCCCTGTGCGGGTTTGGGGCGGTGTGTGGGGCAGGGCGTCTTCCTGGGGAGCTGGGTGGGTTTGGGGTGAGGGTGACGCCGGGCTCCCCCAGGAGCGTTGGTGGTTCTTTTGCCTGGGAGCCGCGGTGGGATGTGAGGTGCTGTCCGTCCTGTTGTGCTGGGGTTTGGGATGGCGCTGGAAAACCGAAATCGTGCTTTTAAAGAGCACACCGGTGCCGCCTCCAAGGCGAAAAGGGCCGGGCCAGCTGTGCCATGCGCCCAGCCTCGTGGATCTGCTGTTGTCCCACCTGATGCTGGAGTTGGTTGAGATTTGGTCTGACGCGACCCCAAAAGCCTTTCTCAGATGGCACTGGGGGTGGCTCGCTCCTTGGGGCGTCCCGTTTCCACTCGGACCTTTGGGCAGCTCCTCTCAGCCCCGCTCCCTGTGCCCTCCGGCGTTATTTAACCTCCCTGTGCCCTGCCCAGGTTTGGGGGAGAGGAGGGGGGCGGAGGGGCACAGCTATTTAGCACCGTGCCTGCAGCCGGCGCCTGCACGCTCTCTGCCCTCAGGGCATGGGGGTCGGTGCTTGATTTACAGCCGGCATCCATGTGCGCTCTGTTGTGCCAGCCGGCCGCGCTCCCCGCAGCGAGGCGCAGCCCTGGCAGGGATGGGATGGGGATTAGTCGGGATTTCGGGTCCGACTCCTCGCCCTTGCCTGGGGCTGCCTCGTGCGTTCCAGCCTGCGTAGGTCCCTGAGTTCCTTGGAGCATCCTGCTGAGTGCCCCCGCCCTGCCCCCTCCCTGGGTTCGGTCCCTGCTCTCCCCCACTGGCTGCGGGTGCAGCAGGCGCTTCGTGCCGCGGTGCTGCCGAGGCAGGGATGCGGGATGCGGTGCCTGCGGTCGCCATGGCAACCCCGTGCTGGGAATGGGGAATTTTCATGGTTGGAGCTGCCCGGTGGTGAATGGGCCCCGGTGCAGGGCAGTGCTGGGGGTGAAACCCTCCCCAGCTCCAGGGCCGCCCTTTCTGCCACCGATTAAACGTCTCACAGAGATGAGTGGGGCTTCACGTGTGCAGAGTGGGTATTTGGAGGTTATTGGATCTCGTGTGAACGGGGAAATCCATGGCTGCAAGCATTGTATCTTAGCCAGAAGCACCCGCTTGCTTCTTGGAGATCCCCTGTGGGAAGTGGCTTTGCAGGAGGTGAAGCTTTGCACCAAATCTTGGCTGGAAATTGGGGTAAGATGGGACAAGAGAGCAGAGGCAGCTCTCGGTATGGATTGCTGAAGTGGGGGTGGGTTGGTGGTACCCAGAGAGCACCCAACACCTCCTCCCCGACCTCTGCATCGTGCTGGGTGTGAGGTTCTGCCATTTGCACCCAAATGGCTGTGGCTAAAGGTTGGGTTTGTTCTGGAGCTCACCAGCACGAAGCCCTCAGCAGCTGCTCCCTGTGGTGCTGGAGGAGCTGTGCAGCACTGAGAGCGCACTGCGTCCCGACCCGCCAGGCATCAGCAGAAGGCATAAATATTTAATGGAGGCACAGTTTATACACGATCTGATCGATGTATGGATGCCAAAGCAGCCATTAAGGTGTCTCTATGGCAGAACAGCGGGCAGCGCAGGCACTGGTGGGGCTGTGGTGCACTGAAGAGCTTGGAGGGCTTTTGCAGCATTACCTTTTTGGATGGAGCCATTCTGTGCTGGGAGCATCCTAAGTGCAGGGCACGCTGTGTCTGTGCATTCAGGTCCATTATGGCCCCGGCTGCAGCTAATGCACCTGGAGCAAATGGAACAGCTCAGAGATGCCTCTGCCTCGAAGCAGAGTGCCAGCAAATTCCCTTGACCCCCTCGAGGGCTAAGAAAAGCAGCAGGTGAAACCCGAGCAGCGATGCTTTCTGCAAAGCTAGTGGCCAGAAATACTGTGGCTGCTTTGAAGCCTAAACAGGCGCTGCCTGGGTGCCGGCTGCAGGGCCCTGGGGCTGTCTGTGCTGCATGGTTATCCCCCTGCTTCTGCCTGGTTCCTCAAAGCAACGTCGAGCTATTGAGTTGGCTGTTTTTTTCCCCCCCCTCCCAAAATGCAGAATTAGAGTTTTCCCCTCTGAAATCTAAAGGAAGAGGCACCGCAGTGGGAGAGACGTGCCTCTGCTGATGGGAAGGGTTTGCAGCCATGTGATGGTGCTCCCTCCTGCCGCTGTGGGCTGAACCCTTATAGCTGCTTAAGGATTGCTTGGGTTGGAGTAGTGGATGTTCTAAAAGCAGCAGCAGGGTGGGGACAGGCGACTGCCATGGGTCTGGGGGAGCTGCCCCCCAGAGGGTTCTGCCTGGAGGTGCTCTCTGTAGGGCCTCAGCCATGGTCTGGGCGCCCTGACCCTGCAGGAGTTGCACCCCTGGGGCTGAAGCACGCGGTGCTGCCTCACCCCAAGTCCGTGCCTGGGTTTTTAACCAGACGAAAATGTTATTCTGGGTTAATGGAGACGTTGCAGAAACCACAGTTTGACAGCACGGGGCTGTTATTATTAAACTCCTAAATAGTGTGGTCAGGCTGACAGGTGTAAATGGTTACGGGTTAAATTTCTGGAGGGTGATGTAAGGAGGGCAAAAGCAACTCTGGCATCGGTCTGGGCTGGGGAAGGATCCTGATGAGATCAGAGCAAACCAGAGGCTCCATGTGGCTCTGGCTGCGGCTCAGTGCTGACCAGGCACTCGGTGCTTTGTGTGTGCAGGGGTTTCTCCTGCAGCAGTCCCTTGCGGAGCAGTGCTGGGGATGGAGCTTTGCAAGTGCCCAGCAAGCATCTGCACGTTGCCAGTCCATCCCGACCTTCATGGTCCTCCTTCCCAAACTCAGGCTGGTGTGAGGCTGCTGGGGATGCTTGGTGCTGTGATGGGAAAGGACCCAAAACACCAGAAAGTGAAAGAGCAGCCCCTGCCCTGCGCATGTAGGTGTGCTTTCACTGCCTCTTTTGGGAGCTGCAGTTTCCCTTGGTGTAGATGGGGTTATGGGGGGGGTGCACATGATTGCTTATTGCAGGAGGCTGCTTTCTGCTAACCGTTGCTTTTTCTTCTTCCCTTTTTTCAGACAGAAATTGCTAAAAGGCTGAATACCATTTTAGCACAGATTATGCCTTTTCTGTCACAAGAGGTAAGATGTCCCTGGGCTCGTTTCCCATGGGCAAAACCCACAGGGGTGATGAGGCTTGGGGTGGGGGGGGGGGGGGGGTCCTGGCTCGGTGCCTGCATGCTCTGACCCACACGCCTGCCTCTGTCCCTGCAGCACCAACAGCAAGTTGCACAGGCTGTTGAACGTGCCAAGCAAGTGACAATGACGGAGTTGAATGCTATCATCGGGGTACGTGGACTTCCCAATCTGCCTCTCACCGTGTGTATACCCCTTTTATTCCTATCATTTACCATAACCAGAGGCAACCCTGCGCTCGGGCGGCGTCAGGGAGGGGCAGCACCCCGAATCCAACCGTCCCCCAGTCCCTGATCTGGCACTGAGCGATGCTGTGGCTCTGCTCCCCAATTATCCCCAGCACTGGTGCAGCTCCGGGAGCCCCCAACACCAAACACCCACATCCCCAGGCTGGGACTGTGCCGGGTTCCCACTCCCCGCAGCCCCCCAGCCCGGGTTTGCCTCTGCTGTACTGTTGATGTGAAATGTGGTGCACGCGTGGCAGAGCTGTTCCATGCATTGACCTTTACCCACTTGAGCGTTACGTGGATCTCGAGGGGTTTTAAGACTAATCTGTTTGCATATCTCTGTGAGTGGTGTAACGGTGTCCTCGGCCGTGCAGCAAGCCACCCGTGCTGGATCTGCTTACTGTGGATAGCAGATCCCTGATGGGCATCCCGCCTTGGGAGCTCTTTGGCATTGGGTGTCTGTTTTCAAAATCACTGATTATTCCTTTGTTTTTTGCAGCAGTGATTTGCACTTCTTTTCTCCCTGTACAAGGAGGCTTCTTCACCTGTTAGCATTTAACCTGCGCTGTTGGGTGGCTGTGGAGGGAGAACCTGGCTCCTTGCTGCTGCAAGGGTGGGAGCGCAGCTCTGTGCACCCTGCAGAACCCAGGGGCTCTGTAGGCATCATTCCATTTTAATGGGTGCTCTGAGTGGCTGTGGGTGGGAGGCTCTGCTTTGGTTCACTGCTCGAAGCCGTAGCATGGAGTCAAGGCAGCTAGAGGCAGATATTGGAATTCAATTAAGGTAAATGAGCGGGGCTCGCGACCCCCATTTTCAAGGTAATTGCTTCCTTGGATCAGCACTAACACGAGTGTCACCCCGTTGTTAAGCAGCCAGCCATGTAATCGTTTTGCCTGACAAAGCTGCACGAGGCAGGAATTGGGGGCAGCGAGGAAGAGAGCGTTGCAGCTGAGCTGGGCCCTGTGTGCCCAGAGCATCCCCCAGCAACGGGCATCCCATGGTGGGACTGGGCATGGCGATGGGCATCCCATCCCACACAGTCGGGTTCTGTTGGTGTAATCATGATCCTGGTGATGTGAATGTCCAGGCAGGGCTATGGGGAGCCCAGTGCTGGGGGTGCTGCAGGTGTACTGCCAGTCTGCCCCAGTGCCCTGCTGCAGGTGCCGAAAACCAAATTGACGCATGCAACAAAAAGAAAATGCATCAAATTATTCAAACCTTTTTTTCGCCCCTTTCGAGGTCAAGAACTGTTAATTTTATGCATCTAGGCCATTGTCTCACAGTTCCTCTGCTTCAGGCTTCTGTGAAATTGAGCCCTTGATTTGGTTATAGCTCTGGAAATGATTAGACTACTTTACTAAATTTAACGCAAGTGGTGAACTTAAGTGGTGAACCATTAAATCGGTTAACAAAGGCATGAAGCATGATGTACATAATCCAATTAAAAACACTCTACGTATGAGATACTCCTTGCCAGCCTTTCTCATCAACCGTAACCTCTTCATATCTTACCCATATTTGCCTGGTGCACGCCGAGAGACCCCAGGAGGGAAGCGCGAACGTCTCCGCGCCGTGCATCCATCGCGGCTCCTGGTGTGGGCTGGGATCTGATCCTCAGATGCTCTGGGAGCAGAATTTGGCCGCCTGCCTGCGCTGGGTTTGCAGCACCGTTGCAGCACTGTGCTGCAGGGTGGTGTCTGAGGATTTAAAGGCGACGTTGAGCGCTGGCTGCAGGTGGGATGTCCAAGCGCGGAGCGCTGGTCTGCATCTGCCCTTTATGTTGGGGCAGTGCTGGAAGAAGCAGCTTCAACCTGGAAGCAGCAGGACTGCTATCGCCCTGCATCCCTGCGACTCCTGTGGTGCTTTGTCAAGCAGAGCTGGGGCTTGCAGCCCTCCACCCCTGGCACCAGGCACCCCTGTGCAGCGTAGCTCCATCTATGGGGCTGCAGCCTTGGGGATGGTTTTTTTTGGTGATGGAGCTTCTGCAGCTGTGCCCGGGGGGCTGTTGGGAAATCCCCGTTGATGTGGGGTTTGAAAACCACCTTTTCTGGGGGTGAAAGGAAGCTGGAGAAGGGTGGCACTTCTCAACTGAGGAGCATCGCCGAGGCCTGCTGCATCCCACTGCTCTGCTGTGCAGGATTTCCCCGTTCTGCGTCCTCCAGGAGGGATCTGAGCCGCCAGCTCCATGCTGCTCCTGCTTCTGCAGGGGAGGAAAATGCCCTATCTGTGTTCTTTGGATCCATCACAGGACGTCGTGCCTTGGTGCTCATTTCCACACCTCTGCTGATCCCAGGCAGCTCAGCGAACCGCAGGATGGATGTGTTTGCCACTAGCTTAATTAAAAAGGGAGAACCGGTGTTTTTCTGCTTCATTGGAGGGAAAGGCTCAAAGAGGCTGAGCCATCCTTGCTGTGCCCCACCTGTGTTTGGCTGTAGCAGGGCTGTGAGCCTTGATGCTGCATGGAATCTGCCTGCTGTCCCATTGGGATGCTGCTGCTGCTCCCTGGATTTGGTCACCCTGTCCCTGCTTGTACCCACCTAGAAGGAAGCGTTGGATCTCAGTGCTGGAAAGCCACCAGGGCTGCTCTCCAAGGGAATGCACAAGTACCGTGGCCTCAGCCTTGCTGAAATGGGTGGAAAGACCGTGAGGTTGGGTTTGGAGAAAGCCCTGTTCCTCCTGCCCTGAGAAGGGGAGGATTGATCCTGCAATGTTGGCACAATCTGGCAGTGCTGGGAGCACTGGGGATGGCTCTGGGCATTGGGTCCTGAGGATGCTCCCCCCTCTGCACCATGGATGGAGCAGCGCCATGCAGCAGAAGCCAAAAAAATAAAAAGCTGTGTTGGAGAGGACCAAGCAGCTTATGCTTTTTCTCTACCAGCACTGTGGATGTCTTATTGCCTTCTGGATCTGGCTTCTGCCACAGCTGAGACCTTTGCACTGCCTGGAAGGACCTGTGTTTGCAGATCATGCATCTCCTCCTCCCCCTGAAACTGCAACTGCTTGCTCCTGTCTGACTCCGGGTCACGTCCTGGGTGGATCTCCCCAGTGCCTCCCACCAGGGTGCAGGAGGTGGGCAGGGGTGGGTGGATCACACCCTGCTCCATCCTCATCAGCACCGCTGCCTTATGGGGCTGCTCCTGGAGCCAGAAGCTGGGTGGGACCTGAGAGGTTGCCTCTGTGCAGGAGGAAGTCCCTTTCCTTCCAGAGAGCTGCGTCCCATGCAGAGCTGCAGCAGGTCCTGGTTGTTTACAGCGTGCACAGAGCAGCGCGCAAGGAGCTGGGTGTGAACTTTCCCCATGCACAGTGATGGCACAGCAGGTGCAGAAGTCTCCTTATGGGCCTTTCTTGGCACCCACGGGCTGATCCCCATTCTTTGCATTTCCCTGTTGCATTTTATGAGCTGTGGGCTGCATTCTTGGGGCTGCACTGGGCCCACCCAGCCCTGCAGAGCATGCAGTGGTGCATCCCTCAGCAGTGCTGGAAATATCCTTGATGCAAACACTGCCTCCTCCTTATAGAACCATGCACGTGGGGTTTCTTTGGAATCTTGCTATGGTTTGCACCAGTCTGCGCTGCAGTGCATTGCTGGGAGCCCTGTGCTCCCTGGGCATCATGGTGCAGCACAGCCCTGGCAGTGGGATAAGGGCTGTCTCCTGCCTTCAGCTTGTGGAAACTAGCACTGAAGGCAGCCTGCTACCTGTGACCCACTGGCTCCAGTTCAGTTTGTCTTCTTGGCGCTTGAAACAGCAGCACGAGGGATGCTCTTCCTTTTTTCCCTTCCTCTCCCCACGCCGTGCCCACTTCCAGCTGCAGAGGATGGGGCTGTACCCGTGGCTCCTGGATGCCTGGTTGGGGAAAGGGTCGCCTGCGGTGTCAGCTGCTGGATGCTCTGTGCAGAGCCATTTTCTGCATGCTGGGCAGCGTTTACACTTACGCTTATTTCCATTGAAAAGCCAAACGGTGCAAACCTGCCACAGCAATTCAGATTGCCTTGAGTGAAGGATGACCACCGCACTGACACACGTGTGCAGGGCACGCGGGGCCGTTCCCCCCCCCCCCCTCCCCAATCCCTCCTGCTAACCCAGCTCTCCTTGCAGCCGGCCGAGCGGAGCGTGAGCACAGCTGGAGATGCAGCCCTGCTGTCTCTGAGGCCGTGCCCTCTCCCCGCTCACCGCTGCTCTCATTGCAGCAGCAGCAGCTCCAGGCGCAGCACCTCTCCCACGCCGCCCATGGGCCCCCGGTTCAGCTGCCGCCGCATCCCTCTGGCCTGCAGCCCCCCGGCATCCCACCCGTCACCGGCAGCAGTTCGGGGCTGCTGGCGCTCGGCGCGTTGGGCAGCCAGGCACACCTGGCCGTCAAGGATGAGAAGAACCACCACGACCTGGACCACAGAGGTGAGAGCTTGGTTTTGCCTGCTCCCAGGCTGGGGTCACCCCGAGCAGCTCAATATGGACGCCTGATAGTTGCAGTGTAGCTTGTTTTCTCTTGTGAGTGCTAAACGGGCCTTTTGTGGAAGGGAAAAATGCTGCGTGGGTTCAGTGTTTCCATGCAAAGCCACCTGTGTGTTGGCACAAGGAGATACAGGCTCTTCCCATTAAGGCCCCGTTTGCCCGGTGATGCCCCTGCAGCACCAGGTGCGTTCGGGCTGTTCTCCCTGCAGAAGGAGGAAAAAAATACCAGTAGCAATTATCCAGTGGCATGCATGCCTCTGCACGGATCTGAATAACCCAGCAGTCCCCATGGATACCGGGTATCAACGGGCAAACATCCCACAGCGGTGGGGGTGGGCACCACTGCCGCGTTGGTGACTTTGTGGGTGAAGGGCCTCAGCTCGGTGCCATCCCCTGTGATTCAGTGCATTGCCTCCATGTGCTGTGTGTCCTACCAGGGGAGGGGGGAAATGGTCGCTGAGGAGGGAAGGGGGAGTGGAGGAAATGCTGGAGAGCCCGGATGTGCTGTGGGTGCAGGCAGCAGGCAGCGGCGGGGGCTCTGTGTCTGCTTCCCTGCTCCAGCACCCATTCTAACTGTGATTTTTCTCTCTTCCCTTTGCTTTGGCTGTGCCCTCTGACCCCAACCGCTGCCAACAGAGCGGGACTCGAGCGCGGTGAGTGCAGCACCTCCTCCCCATCCCAACAGCTCCGCTTCTGAGCGCCCGTTTTGTTTCAGCTCTCCTTTGAACAAGGGGTGTGAGCCCCGAGGGGTTACCTTTGGGGCTGATCCTAGGGAAAAAAGGAGAGAAACAGGCCAGATTCCCCCGCTGGCTATGCTGGGATGTCGTCGTCCCCCCCCCCAGTGCCAGATGTGTGGGGTCAGACCTCCCCCACCGCTCTGCTCTGAGCTCAGGTCGCGACTGAGTGAGCGCCATGAATGGGCGCAGCCGAGTCAGCGCGGGTAAAAAGATCCGTCGGCGATTAAGAAAGCTATTTTATTCCTGATCACTCTTCTATTATCTTGGGTCATCTAATCTGCCGGGCTGGTTGGGGCTATTATGCCACGTTAAGTAGGACTCGGAAGGTCAAGCAGTTAACTAACCAGCTAAATAACCACGGCTGAGGGCAGCCATCACCTCCAGCACTGATTGGATCCTTTAATTTATTTTTTCCTTTTGCCCCCAGCACGGCCCTCCCTCTTTTGTAGTGGGGCTGAGGGGGGGGGAGGGGGATGCAGCCCATATCCCCCACCCGTATTGCATGAGGGGGGGGCTTTGAGAAAGCAGGGGGGGGGAAGAGAAGCCCTATTGAATGAGGAGAGGGGAATTGGGCATCGTTAACCTGCCCACGTGGGGAGGGGGCTGTGAAGGATGGGAGCGTTCCCAATCTATAAAATGAAACGCAGGGGTATTCCCCGCGGAGGTTTTAATGCGTGCGATAATCAGCGTTAGTCATTCATATTTTCCTAGCCTTGCCTGAGCAATAAAAAATATTTAGTTTCTTGGCGGCGCGCCAGCAGAAGGCTGAATGGATCGATGCCTCTAAATGCTTGACATGATTCTCTGGTAGCTGCGAGGTTTTTTCAGCATGACTGCCTGAGAAGAAAGACCCCGGTGTTATCCAAAGCTGCTTATTGGGTAGCGAGGAGAAACATGAACTGCTTTAGTTCTCCCTTTCAGACGGGGAAGAAAGGCGGGCGGAGGGGCTCAGGAAGGCGGCTGCTTAGCAGGGGCTGTGGGCTCTGCGATGAGATGCGGTGATGGCCGTGGCCCCTGTGGCTGTGAGGAGCTCATTGCAGGGCCGCAGCTCTGGCACAGCTCTGAGCTGCCATGTTTTGCTCCGTCCCCATGCTGGGGCTGTTCTGGGGAAGGCAGCGTGTTGGATGTGTCCCAATGGGTGCACAAAGCTCTGCCCGCAGTGCTGGGCTGCAGGAAAAAGGCTATTGATGTGTATTGATGTGCTTTTCCAAACGGTTTGGAATGCCCTTTGGTTTGGCAGAGCTTGGCTTAACTGAAGCTGAGATAAAGCAGCTCTGGCAGCTCTGCCCTTTGCTCCCCTAATAAAAGCTGGGGATGGAGGTCATGGCTCTGCAAAGACTGCAGGCTCCCTGAGGCTCAGATCCTCGTGCAGAGCCCCGTTGGGCTGCAGCCTGGTGCTGGATGCATCTATGTTGGTTGCATGAGTGGTGTGTCTGCATTGGTTCAAGGGGCGGATGGTGTAACCATGTTGGGTAGGTGGCACATCTGTATTTACCAGCAGCCTCCACGGGTTGCAGCAGCTGCCAGGGAGCTGCTCTATTTCCTGCTGCTTCCTAGCAGGATTTTCTCTTTTCGACAACAAACAGCTCCTCCCCTTTCTCTGCTTTGGTAGCAAACAGGCTCAGGTGGCCATAAGCAGCCCGTCTTGAGGTGACATTCAATGAGGACGTGTGGTTTGGGCCACGGATCTTGCTCCACTGCTGGGGTTTTGCAGTCTATTGGTGCTTTGAAGACTCAGTGCTGGGCAGAAAGCTGTTGGCTGTGCCCTTAAGTCCCATTCCCTCTTGCATGCAACTCAGATGTGTTTACTGTTATTGCAGAATAACTCAGTTTCACCCTCGGAAAGTCTGAGAGCCAGCGAGAAGCACCGGAGCTCTACAGACTACAGCATCGACTCCAAAAAGAGGAAAGCAGAGGAGAAGGACAGCATGAGCCGATATGTGAGCTATGGGGGGGTTCCTCACAGCCCAGGGCTGCGAGCTGCCTCTATATGTGCCTGCATAGTGCAGCATGGGAGCGCCATGGGTGGGGGCAGGCTGGGTTTGGGCAAAATCTTGCCAAGGCTGTCGCTGTGCCCTGGGGGTGCTGTAGGGGGATTCAGCTCCTTGGGAGCAGCCCCAGGGCTTGCAGCTCTGCAGGGCTGTAACTTAATGCTGTCTTTCAGGACAGCGATGGTGACAAAAGCGATGACCTCGTCGTTGACGTCTCCAATGAGGTGAGCCAAAGGGTGGTTTTGGTTTCACCGCTCTGGGGGTCCCACAGGTGGTGCTGGGGTACGAGTGCTTTCTCCTGCCTTGCAGGACCCTGCCACCCCCCGGGTCAGCCCGGCCCACTCCCCGCCTGAGAACGGCCTGGACAAAGCTCGTGGGCTGAAGAAGGGGGATGCACCCAACAGCCCGGCCTCGGTCGCCTCCTCCAGCAGCACTCCTTCCTCCAAGACTAAAGACTTGGGCCACGTATGTGCCATGCTGTGCCCTGCCGCGAGGCTCTCCAGAAACCCCCTGGCAGCTGAACTTCATCCTTTATGTTTTATTCTTTTTGGATTTTTTTTTTTTTTCTGCATCCAGAACGACAAATCGTCAACGCCTGGACTCAAGTCCAACACTCCCACACCGAGGAATGATGCCCCAACCCCAGGGACAAGCAGCACCCCGGGGCTGAGGCCGATGCCCGGCAAGCCGAGTGGCATGGACCCTCTGGGTGGGTACCACAGCTTCCTGGGGGGTTCCTGGGACCTCACCCCACTCAGGGTGCTGGGAATAGGATGAACGGGTTGGCGCACCCATCACCCACATCCCCTGACCGCATCCCTCACCCTCCCACAGCCTCAGCCCTGCGGACACCCATCTCCATCGCGGGTTCCTACGCAGCCCCGTTTGCCATGATGGGGCACCACGAGATGAACGGCTCTCTGACCAGCCCTGGTGCCTATGCTGGCCTGCACAACATCCCCCCACAGATGAGTGCTGCAGCCGCCGCCGCCGCTGCCTATGGCCGGTCGCCAATGGTGAGCTTTGGAGCTGTACGTAGCACTTTTAGCTCCTTTTCTCGCTCACGGTGGGCGCGGGGAGGGCTTGGGGGGGAAGGGGGGAGAGACTGCTTGGTGTTGGGGTTGAAATGGACTCCTCTCCCCATGGTTTGGGTTGGCTCAGGTTGCGGGTTGCAGAAGTTGGGGTGCACGCTGTTGGGATGCTGTGTGCCCCGTGGTGTTGATGGATATCTTATGCTCTGCCCATAACTCCCTGCATGACCACCTTCCCCTGAGTACTGATACTGATAAGTCCTTATTTGTATACCTCAAGATTAAAAAAAAAAAACGGCCAAAATGGGAATTAAACTGCTTGCAATTAATACAGAGATTGGGATTTTAGTTGCATTGGGGTGCAGGCTGCCTGTCCCAGGGATGTGGGAATGATGTGGGAGGGTGAGCAAGTCCGGTGCTGACTCTTGCAGGCCCAAAATGTGGTTTCATTTCCAAATCCATCCCCTTTCTGGTGTGTGTGTGTGTGTGTGGGAGGAGGGGGAATCGTTTTAAGCTATTAAGCAGCAATATTGAGGACAAATGGGGGGTTGTGGGGTTGCGGGGCTTGTGGATGGGATGCTGACAGTTGCCGTGCCCATCTCGTCCTCACATCTTTCAACAGGTTGGCTTCGACCCACACCCGCCCATGCGGGCCCCTGGCCTGCCCACCAGCCTGGCATCCATCCCTGGAGGGAAGCCGTAAGCACTGCTTGGTTTTCTGTGGGGTTTCACCTGGGAGGGGACTGCCCACACCGCTCCGGGTTGGCCAAGCAGCGGTGGCTTCAGTGCCAGCTGCACGCTGCGTTTGCAGCACGGCTGTTTTTAGGGGCTCACCTCTGTGTTTTTCCTCCTCTTTGACAGAGCTTACTCGTTTCACGTCAGTGCTGATGGGCAGATGCAGCCAGTCCCCTTTCCCCACGACGCCCTGGCTGGCCCCGGCATCCCCCGGCACGCACGGCAGATCAACACGCTGAGCCATGGCGAGGTGGTTTGTGCCGTCACCATCAGCAACCCCACCCGGCACGTGTACACAGGTGGCAAGGGCTGCGTGAAGATCTGGGACATCAGCCAGCCGGGCAGCAAGAGCCCCATCTCTCAGCTGGACTGCCTGGTAAGGCGCGGGGTGGGAGGACCTGCAGCGCGTGTGAGCTGCGCTGTGTCGCTGCTGGTCCCCAGGAGTGATGGAGAGCCTTTGTAGGGCTGTTGTAGCAAGCCTTCTTCTGTCTAGGTTGAAAAAGCCCTAATGCTGTCATGTCCAACGGCTGTTCTACCTCCACCAGGTCTGCCACTAAACCAGGCCCTTATGTGCAACGTCTGTGTGCTGTTTAAATGCCTCCAGGAATGGGGACACAGCTGCCTCTCTGTGCAGCCAGTTCTAAGCCTTTGTGACCATTGTCATGAAGAAATTCTCCCTAATATCCAAACTAAGCCTCCCCTGGTGCAACTTGAGGGCATGTCCTCTTGTTCTCTGGCTTGGGAGAAGAGAGAAGAGATCAATCAATCTGCCTTGCTGTAGCCTCCTTCGAGGTTGTTACAGGGAGCAGTAAGCTCTCCCTTGAGTCTTCCATAGGCTGACTAACCCCGGGTTCCTCCCTGGTCCTGCTGGCCACCCTGTATTTGACACAAGCCATCCCCATGCTTTCTCTGCTGGCCCCCTTTGCACTGACAGCATCTCCACCTCTCTTCCTGCTGCAGAACAGGGATAACTACATCCGCTCCTGCAAGCTGCTTCCCGACGGCCGCACGCTGATCGTTGGGGGGGAGGCCAGCACACTCACCATTTGGGACCTGGCCTCCCCCACACCCCGCATCAAGGCTGAGCTCACCTCCTCGGCGCCCGCCTGCTACGCGTTGGCCATCAGCCCCGACGCCAAAGTCTGCTTCTCCTGCTGCAGCGACGGCAACATCGCCGTGTGGGACCTGCACAACCAGACCCTGGTCAGGTGAGTGGGGGGTTCCCAGCGTGCTTGGGGTGAGGAATGCCACAGAGGGGCCACCTGGGTGTTGGTGCACGTGGTGATGCTGCAGTGGAGCAGAACCATGAGCAGACAAACACCGAGCGCAGTGTGTTCGTAGCATCCATCCCCGGTGCTACCTGTGTGGGGTGCGCCATGCGTTTTGCCATTCTAGATGTGAATTATTATTCTGTTTTTTATTTTTTTTTTCTTCTAAGGCAATTCCAAGGCCACACAGACGGTGCCAGCTGCATAGACATCTCACACGATGGTACGAAGCTGTGGACAGGGGGACTGGACAACACCGTGCGCTCCTGGGACCTGCGGGAAGGGCGGCAGCTGCAGCAGCACGACTTCACCTCCCAGGTGGGCACAGGGCCCTCAGGAAGGTCCTGGCCTCATGCAGCCTTTATGGAGGGGCTGTCCATCGGTGGGCCAGGTTGCAGGAGCTCAGTGTGGTGATGGAGCTCTTCTTGCTGGATGGGTGCCCTGCACGCCGCTGCCTGGCTGTGTGTGTGCATGTTCCAGGTGCCTTGGGTGCAGTGCAGGAGTGTTTGAGGCAGTAAGGCTCTCTGGTTCTGGATTTAGCCCCACTTTTGTTGCTTTTTTAACAAAGCTTGGTGCAAGATTGGGCTGCTACTAAGAAAGCAATGCTTGCATAGGGTACCACGTGGCATCGCAAAGCTGGATGTCCTTGTGTTCCAGCCCATAGCAGCCACAACTTGGAGCTCTGTCAGCCTTGCTGTCTTCCCTGAGGTTTCCTATTCTGGATGTGCCAGCTGTGCTGCCTTCTCTTGGCTCCCCATGTTTCAGCATCAGAAATGGCAAGGGGATGTTTAGGAGGACAGGGCCACGTCCCTTCCAGCCTGCCAGGCTGCTGCTTCTCAGACTCACTGACCTTGTTGTCAGCTCTGTGGGCACAGCTGTCCCATTAAAACCAAGCAGAGGGCTGCAGGCTCTGGGTTTGTGCTGGAGTCCATGCCCAGGTGCAGCTTTGCGTATAATTGCACCGAGGTGAAGGAAGAGCTGGCAGTGGACGCTCACCTCCTCTCCCCTGCCCAGCTGGGCTCTCCCACTGTCAAATCCTGGCGTCAGGGCTTGGGATGCTGCGGGGCCATGCGTGCTTGCAGATGCCAACCTGTTCTGTGCCCCCAGATCTTTTCGCTGGGGTACTGCCCCACGGGCGAGTGGCTGGCAGTGGGCATGGAGAGCAGCAACGTGGAAGTGCTGCACCACACCAAGCCTGACAAGTACCAGCTGCACCTGCACGAGAGCTGCGTCCTCTCCCTCAAGTTCGCCTACTGCGGTGAGTGGTGGCAGTGCCACGGCGTTACTGCTGTGCAGCAGTGCTGCTCTGCCTGCCTGTGGGAACCACGTGGGGTGAGGGGTGTGCAAAGGGCCGGGCACCTCCAGAAAACCTCCTGCTTTTCCAATGGCTCCAATTCCCTACAATGCCCAAACTGTGCGATGTGAGCTTGGGGCAGGGAGCTGTCTGGCCACCTGGCTCTGCTGGCTGTGTTGGGTGCTGATGCCGTTCCCACGTCTGCAGGCAAATGGTTTGTGAGCACGGGGAAGGACAACCTGCTCAACGCATGGAGGACGCCCTATGGGGCAAGCATCTTCCAGGTAGGGGCTGCTTTGCTGGGGGCGCGGGGGCCGCCTGGTTCTTACAGCACCATCAAGAAACCACACTGATCCATTTCCTTTTCATTTTTTTAATTTCTCCTCCCCGTTTCCATCTCTCCTCCCCATTCCTCCGCCTTCAGTCCAAGGAATCCTCGTCGGTCTTAAGCTGCGACATTTCAGCAGATGACAAATACATCGTCACGGGCTCTGGGGACAAGAAGGCCACAGTCTACGAGGTCATCTACTAAGGGGACGCAGTGGTGGTGCCGCAGGCTCGGCGCTGGAGCAGCGCTCGGGGCAGCACTGGGATGGGATCGCTGGCTGGAGCTGCACCTCTGTGCCCGCCCGGCACCCACACGGATTTATTTGGAGGTCTGCAAACATGGCACACACGTCGAAGCCCTGAACGAATTTTCGGTTTGGTTTTAGGGTTTTGGGCTATTTTTTTTTTTTTTTTTTTTTCCATTTTTTTGATCTTTTTTTGGTTTCCTGGTTCTTTCCATCTGCGCTTTGGTGGCACTATAAAGGACTTATTTTTTAACATGACATTTTTTTTTTTCTTTTGGTGCATCCCGCATTAAGACTTGTGAAAATTGTAAATACCGGACTAGTACATAGCATGGGAAGGGTGGGGGACCCTCCCGGTACACTAGGTGTGTATTTTCGTCTGCTGTAATTGTATTCCACTGATGGTTTTGGTGGTGGCAATTTTTATTATTATTATTATTTTTTTTTTTCCTCCCCTTCCCTTCCTCCTCCTCCTCCCCATTGCATCCATTTGGGATGCGACCCGGACGTGCAGCGCGTAACCGGACTGAGCAAAGTGTCCTCTGGTGAAGTCGTTCCTCCTGTGGTCCCCGTGCGTTGTTCGGTGTTGTGTGTGCGGACGCTGTCGGGGCTGTGCTCAGCTCGGCCGGATCCCCGGCTGCTGCCGGACGTCGGCGACACAATCACGTTTTTATATGGATTTTTCTTTTATTTTTTTTTTTCCTTTTTTTGTGCTCGTATGTTTGAAGAAAAAGGGGAAGCCCACGATCCGGGAATCATCCGCTCGAGCCCTTCTTGGTCTTCGGACATAAAAGCAACGAGGAGTGATTTCAAAGAAAGCATAGTTAAAATTCAGCTCAGGGAGCCACGAAAGATAATAGCAACTTAATGTGTTTTGTATTCAAATGAAAGTAAAGAATTAGAATTGATAACCTTTAAAATACAGTTTTTTTAAAGCAAAGTTGACTAACAAGTAGGGTTTGTGTGTGGTGGGGGGAAGGGGCTTGGGCAGGGTCCTGTGGCTGTATGGGCTCGTGTCTGCTGGTCTGGAGGTTCCCCAAGAAGCAACACCCATCCCCGCACAGGCCTGCGTTGCAGCATTTTGTACTAAAGGGTTTAAAAAAAAAAAGAACAAGAAAACGGGAAATAAAAGTATTTGTGTAGCAGAAGCGCTCACCCTGTATTGTAGCGTACGGAAGAGGATTTTGATACTACGTTTTTTATGGATTATTTTTTAATTGGTTTTTTTTTTCCCCCCCCCCCTCCCCCCGTTGTAACCCAGTGGAGGACTGAGGAGGGTGATGGTGATGTGGGCACCGCTGTGGCTGCTGGGGAGATGTGCTGGGGCAGAGAGAGGAGCTGTGGTGGGAAATGGCCTTTCCCCTTCAACCTGGTGCTTCTGAGCTTTTTTGCCTATTTCTGTGCAAAACCCAAGGGAAGAAACCCAGGCTGATGGGTGGCTGCCCTGCGTGGCTGCTCGGTGTGAGCCCAGATTGAGGAGCTGGGATCGATCTGCGCGCTCATCAGCCAATGAGGAAAGGGGCAAAATGCTTTTTGAAACTGCATCAGAGGAATGGTTTGAAGGGGGGTCGGGCTGAGCTAAAGGACTGCACAGCCCTATCCTGCAGCTCTGCGCGCTGTGCTGGGCTGCACTCGCAGCCCTATGGAGCATCCTCTGCTCTGTGTGGCACTGGAAGGGCTCGGAGCACCCCTGGGCTGTGCCTCCAGGCCAGGCTTTGCCTGCATTTGTGCTTTGTTTTCCTCTAACCCCCCTGAGGAACTGTGCGTAGCAGAGCTGGCGGCGGGGCGCTGAGTTGGACCTCTCCACTTGACACCAAAGTATGTAGCAGAACCTGTACAGCTGTTAATAACTACAACTGGCTTTTGTACAAAAGGAGAGAGAGAGAGAGAAAAAAAAGAATAAAAAGTCAATGTAACGAAGCTCAAATGGAGGCACAGTGTCTATAAACCATTTCATCTTTCTTGTTAGTAAAAGCAAAGCGTAGCAAGAAGCCATCCTGCATGGGGGGCGTGGGGTGTGGGGCCCTTCTGGGCAGACCCATCCCCAGGACACAGCCTCTGGGTGCTGCAGGATGATCCCACCGCCCCATGGATTTCTGCTGGAGAACGAACCGTGCAGTGGAATGCAGACCCCAGCAGTCGACTCATCCGTGTCCCCGTGCTGGATGCTTTGGTCGCTGCCGTTCCCTGAGGACGCAGTGTGGCATTGCCTGCTTTGCTGGGAGCTGAGCGAAGCCACGACCCCAACTTGGCTGTTTCCTTCTCGCAGCGAGCCTGGAGCCATCACCATGAAATCACCACCATGGGGTTTGTCTTCTGCTGTTGGGTGACACATCGGTGTGGTGCCACTGCCAGGTGATGCTTGGGGACGGTGCCACCGCTGCACTCTGAACCCACCCAGCTCCGACATCGCACGTTCCTCTGCCTCCCAACACGGTGCCCGACAGCCCCAGCACATCCTGTGAACCAGGACATATGCAGCGTCCTCCGGGGCTCTCCCTGTGATGGATTGAACATGACAGAGTCTGCTGCGAGGGAGAAATAAAAAGCCGGAGCTGCACTCTTAACTGCTCGGCTTCTCGATAATGTACGGCAGTAAATGGTTATGAGTGCATTTAAATCTGATTTGAAGCTGGGCGGAATGAGGGGCTGGCACGGGGGACCATTAAAAGATGAAAATTGCAAGAAATCTTTTGTTGTAAGATTTGGGAGCGCACAGAGCTGGAGGCTTTTGCCCGGCCTGGCGGCACCCAGCGCTGCTCGCAGCAATCCCAGCCCACTGCTGCCCTTTGCAATTAATTGGGTTTGACTACAACCTTCCCAAAGTGCTGATGGAGGAGGTGCTGGAGCCACGCGCGGCCTCTCCAATTTCCATTTGCGTTATCAGCAAGGCGCTGGATGTGCATATGTTGTAATTAAAGCATCTCCAGCCTCGCACGCTAATTTTTTTTTAGTATTATAAATTCATAAGGACTCTTCATCTATATATTTTGGTGCTTGACTGCTGATGCTGCTCTGACTTCTGCCTACAGGCAGATCCACGTGCCAGGCCGGTGCAGTGGGCACTGTGGGATGCTCGAGGCCCCAGCACGCAGCACCTTTTGGGTTGCCTCTGCTTTCCCTGCTTTTGTGAGCAGTGCTCCTATGCACAAGGAGTGGCTCCATGCACAGCATCACACTGCGCTGGTCCCCTGCCCCATGTCCCGTGCGTCCCTCCAACCGCCGTGCATTTGCTGGGATCGGCTTTTCCCGCAGGCTCTGTGTCTGGGTGCTCCTCCTCCTCCCCAGCCTGGCTTTCTGGGGCAGCCGTCAGGCGAAATTACCCTTTGAGTAACCAATAATTAGCAAATTGCAGTGTTCAGGGCCTGGCGCTGGGGCAGAGGTTGTTAGCTTGCCTTCAAAAATACAATGAAGGAAATAAGCGGGGTGGCTCTCAGCTGCCGCCCAGCCGCACCCCTGGCTGGCACCCGCTGCGTCACAGCCCTGTGCAGATGAAGTGCCCATGTGTGCCCTGTCCTGGGGGGGCTGGAGATGGCTGGGAACAGCCACCCCATGGGAACGTGGCTCTTGCTATGCTGTGTGTTGACCCTGAAGGGCAGCAGTGGGTGTTGCTGCAGGTGTAGCAAAGCTGTTCTGTGGCAAGCTGTGCCACGCAGTGCCATGCTGGCCCATCCCACGCTGTTCCATCCCATTCCAAGCTGTGCCACCCTGTGCTATCCCATGCCAGGATGAGTTGTGTTGTTGTGCCATGCCGTGTTGTGCCTTCCTGTGCAATGTGATGCTGTGCTGTGCCACCCCATGCTGTGACAAACTGTGCCACGCCGTGCATGTTTTCCTCCACTGTGCTGTGCCATACCATGCCATTTTATCCCATCCTATTCAATGCTGTGCAGTGCCATCCCATGCTATGATGAACCATGCTGTGCCACGCCACACCATCCTCTTTCATCCTATCTCATTCCATGCCATCCCATGCTGTTCCATTCCATTCCATGCGGTGCCATATTACAAACCGTGCCGTATCATAGCCTGCTATCCCATGCCATGAGAAGTTGTGTCATGCTGTGCCATACTGTGCCTTCCAGGGCTGTTCCATGCCGTGCTGTGCAGTGCTGTGCCACCCCATGCTGTGATGAGCCATGCCATGCCACGCTCTTTTCCTGTGCTGTGCTGTGCTGTGCCATGCTGTGCCCTTCTCACGCCATGACGTGCTACGCTGTCTCATGCAGTAATGAACCACACTGTGCCATATTGTGCCTTCCAGGGCTGTTCCATGCCATGCTGTGCCATGTCAAGCTGTGCTCTGTGCTACCATGCCACACAGTGCCGTGTCATGCCCCCCCCCCCAGGTGCAAACAGCCCACTGCAGGCTGTGCTCCCTACGATGGTGCCTCTGCCATCTGCACCGTGCTGCCCTCTTGATGGGGTGTCCCTTTCTCTCTCCCTGGGGACAGGCTGGGGTGCCCGTGGTGAGCACACATTGCAGCCAGCAGGACCCCAACGTGCCCCCACACACCGCATTGCTGTGGCACTCACGCCATCCCCCACTGCCGACTCTGGGAACAGATGGCAGGAGGAGGCTCTGGGACACCATCAGCTGTTGTTATCGCTAGCTGATGACACGGAGTGTAAATTCTGTTGGCACTACTCCCTTCGTCTGTTCTGCCTCTACATCCCACCAGTTTTAATTACTGTAATTGAGTTATAATGAATGATTGTGCATTACCATTGTCTGTAATGTGGCAGGGAGTATTCTGTTCGTTACACACTCCATCTAACAACATGCCCCTCCTCGTTGCTTTGTTTATCTGGTTGAAGGGTGTCATCACTTCAAATGGCACAGATAAAGCAGCGCTCAGAGTGGCTGCGTTGTGATGTTTATCGGTTTTCTGTTCTCAGGCGCCGGCGCTTCACTGAATCCCGGTGGAAAACGGCAGAAAGAGATAAAAACTCATTTGGCTTTAATCCCTCGTGGAAAGAAAAACAATGAAAAAAGGCAACGACAACAACAACACAAACCGCCACCACAACACAAAGCCCTGCAGAGCTTCAGCCCAATGGGAAGCCAACTGGTTGGCACTAATTGGCACTGGCCGGCACTGGCTGGCATTGAGTGGCACTGGTTGGCATTGAGCGGCACTGGTTGGCATTGAGTGGCACTGGTTGGCATTGAGTGGCACTGGTTGGCATTGAGCAGCACTGGTTGGCACTAGCTGACACT